AAAGTAGTAGCTAACTACCCACCATGTCTGTACCAGGTGTACCACACCTCTTGTAATAAAACACTAGTAAAGGCTATATATTTGGATTTAAAATACTCTCTTTAACCTAACCAATTTCCAGTATATTACAACTAATTGTTAACCACAAGGTAATAAGACCAAATCCTAATAAATAAATAGTGTGTGTGATGTTTCGGTAACAGCATTGTAATCTATAATCCAAATTGTGCCTTGTCAACTAATTGTTAAATTGTATTTTTATCATTTTTGCAAAACATTTTCAATGTTTGCCTATTCAGTTTTGTTGAGGTCATATAAATTATAAAGTAAAAAACACTAAGTAGGTTTGGGTAGAAAGAATCCATCATAACTTGGCTGGGTCTCTGTAGCCAATTTTCTCACTGGGGACTCTTCTTCTTCTTTCTTATCTCCACTCAATCACACTAAGGTATCAAGCTTGTAAAGCTTGAGATTTTTGATGGTGTCTGCCGGGGAGGAGTAGAGCTCATCAATGGATGAATCAATACAGTCAATAATATGTCTTGGGGTTGCAGGCTGAGAATTGCACTTAGTACATAGTGGGAAAACCCTGCAACTATTCTGGAAAGTCATTGTCCTTAGATGAACAGACTTAAGTCTGGAAATCAAAGACTGTTGTTCTCTTGGGAGGACAGAACCGGTGCTTGTCCCTCCTGCTCTGTACCAGTCATGTGCAGCATCAGATTTCCATTCCTGCAGACATTGGGTTTTGATGGTACGGAGGAGGTCTCTTTCGTCTAGTTGGGTGGTAGATTCTCTTGCTTCAGGTAGGCCAAGAGCTCCGGCCTTTGCCAGAGAGTCTGCCAGGGAACTGACCTGACTGTACTGATAATTGGTACTTTTGGTAGCTCCAAGAGTCTCCTAACTCCTTACTGGCAACATTGTTCAGATCCTTCTAATCAGTTAGTTGCCTTCAAGCTTACACAGAGCTGTCAAACAATGGTCACCTGTTTGGAGAGAGGGTTATAGAAATTACCAAATACCACCCACCTCTAAAATGTTTTAAAACAAATCTCTCCCAACCTGTAACCCCATCATGGACTGCATTAAAAATTATAAGATACAATTTAGATTATAAACACAAGGTAATAAGACCAAATCCAAATAAATAGTGTGTGACGTTTCGGTAACAGCGTTGTTACCATCTTTAGACAAGTATTTGACTGCAGACTGGTGCCTCTGGTCATATGATTTCAGAAACTTTGTGATATATATATATGTTATAAATAGAAAAGAGATTTTCTGCTTAAATTTAGATCATGTTGAGGATTATGGTATGGTAATGCAGTCGTGGTTGAAATCCTTAAAGTATGATAATGAAAAATAGTTTTGATCAGTAATTTAATTGAGTTAAAGGAATATATAAAAAAGACATAATTTGATAAAAGTAATGCCTGGCTTAAGGCGAGTAGAATAAGGAAAACAAAAGATTATTCACATAATGTACTAAAGTTTTGAGCCGGCCATTGGGGAATTTTATTATTATTCTGTACATAACCCGGACTCCTGGAGCGTACGAAAGTCGCCAACTGTCCGGGTTTGTCTTCTGACTTATTGTCTATTTGTTGCAGTTGACATCCAACTGATTAGATGTCGCCAGGCTGTTTTATTTTTGGGGAGGTTCTTCAATGCTTCTTGGTTGAATGTGCTGGTGTTAAGTAGAGTTGCAGTCTGGAATCTCTGAAGATGGTAGGATGGGCAACTGAATAGGAGGTGGTCGACTGTTTGATTTTCTTGGTGACAGTGTTGGCATACGGGGTCGTTGTTTTTGGAGGTTCTGGCGATGTCGGCTTGAACGAAGCCATGTCCTGTCAGAATTGTAGAGGTGATGTTGCAATATTTTAGTTTTGGGAGAATTGAGATTAGAAGACTAGGAGATGCAGCTACTCTTCTGAGGTTTCTTGTAGCGTGGTCTGTGGTGTAGAGGTCGGTCCATAGTTGGAGGGCGAACTGTTTGCTTTGAGAGCGGACATATTTCCTAGGAAGAGTTGCGAAGTGTAAAGGCAATTTGGATTGAGCTGCGGCTTTGGCAACTTCATCAGCCTGTTCATTTCCAACGATGCCGCAATGACCCCGAACCCAGCAGAGTTGAACATTGTCCAGAGTATTGAGGTTTCTGATTATCTCTGCAGTAAGTGGGGTTCTAGGGATATCGGGGTGACAGATGGCATGTAGAGCTGCCTGGCAGTCGGAAGCAATGACAAAGTCTTGTCGCGGCATGATCCTAATAGATCTGGTGGCATAAAGAATGGCCAAAAGTTCCGCCTGGAAGGAGGTACAGTTGTTGTGGAGTTTAAGTTTCAGTGGTGAATAGGGAGGTGGGAGCACCACTGCTGCGCCAACCCCATTGGGATTCCCAATTCCATTCCATTAAAAATACCATTGTTATAACGAACTTTGCGATTTTTAGAATAACGAACTACCCCTATAACGAACCTATTTTCGGTCCCAAAATAATAAAACCTATTTAAAATACTATGCTTATAACGAACTTAGAATTCTAATTTAAAAAAAAATTAAAACAAACAAATTTTGTGCATGTTTCAGCTCGCGGATCGCGATTTCAAAACAATAAATTTAGCAGCATTGTTTGTTTTGAATTTTGCACTTTATTTTTACTGTATGTTGTATAAATGTTAACACATTATACCTTTTTTTAAATAGAATATATTTGCATCCATTAAATTTGAAATATAAAAATACAAATGGCTTCCAAAATGAAGAAAACAAAGGCATTTTAAAAACAAAAGCGTTATTTCTTTTTAAAAAAAAGGCCATTTTCAGAACTTTTCAAAGTGAAACAACACAGGCAAAATATTAAGAACATATTAAAATAAGAGAATATAACTTTTCTATTATAAATGATCAAATATAAAGCTATTAAAAATTGTTACAAAGAGGAATCAACCTCAACTTTTGCCGCGATCGCGATCGTACGTTTTAGGGCTAAAAAAAAATATCCAAATAAATGGTCCCATGATGAAACAAAAACTATTTTTATGCCATTAACTATGGTGATTTTAAAGTCAGCAATGTTTTGCATGACAGGTTAAAATAAACTAAATCTAGACCTAGAAGAATATGTGGGAAAATGAAATGAAGAAAAACACTAACTTTATTTGAATGGTGCAATGCTTGAAGAATGCTTTGAAGCAACAAGGTGTTAGAGCCATTTTTCCAAGTGAACAATGTATTATATAATGTGATAATGATGTTTTAAAATCATTTTATATCTTTAAATATATATTTAATAAAACTTTGCCTAGGATTTGTCTTGATTTTTAAATTAGACATAGAGGTACATGTATGTTAGTGATAAGAAGAACCTATCATCTAATGATTTCTATTATTATTCAGTATTATTGTAAGGAAATTGGTCAATTAAGGGAATTAAAACAAAGTAACCACTATTAAGAGGAAGCCTCTTCCAGTGTGTATGGCTGTCCTTTAATTATACGGTCTAAAAATTTTGAAAAGTAAAAAAAAATGGCCAAACCATGGCTATAGTGAACCGTGGCTATAGTGAACCAAAAGCTCTGTCCCATTGGGGTTCACTATAGAGGGGTTTTACTGTATGTGTTATACAATATAATGCGGTTTATGATTGTAGAATGACATTGAAAATTATCCCGCATGTGTTTCTTTTGAACGAAAAATCGAAATTTATTTTAAGGAGAAATAACGATTAATACGGTATTATAAAATTATAAAATGAAATAAGGTTAGAAATAATCGTTATTTCTCCATAAAATAAATTTTGATTTTTCGTTCAAAAGAAACACATGCGGGATAATTTTCAAATGTTGTTCTACAATATATATATGTGTTAAATTAATTATTGTCTTAAAAGGAACAAGTAACTGGGCCTGTGTTTGAATGTATCCAACATACATGTGTTCATCAAGCTCCTCAACAACCAGACAAGACCACCCTCCCCCAGGATACTTACTGTACAAACCAGTCCCCAATTACCACAAGAGACAACCCACCATCCAGGAGGGGCACCACCAGCACCAGGTAGGGAGAGGCCCCGGGGTCAAACACCAGCAGGGGGTTGCCAACCACCTCCCTGAAGACAAAGAAGTGGAAGTAGGAGAGGACTTGGCTCTGGCAATCCTGTTTCCCCAGGTAGCGGAGAGAGAGCTTCCTTCTGGGGGAGAGGTAGAGGGGGATGGCTGGGATCTGCCATACCACACATCACACTGCCTTCATCACTGGTAGAATGCTCTGCTCATTGCCCTCCATTAAGACATATTATTAGAACAAGGCCACTACTAAACCACCTGGGAGTTGGTGGAAGGATGGTCCAAACCATTGGTTTTCGACCACTACGATTCCTGCATTGGACACTTTTTTTCTGATTTAAAAAAAAAATGCTCAAATGGCCCCTGATTCTTGCAAAAGTACAACCCCGCAATTAACCAAACGGGGCTCTGGCACATTTGTAAGTGTAATGTCGAACTGCTTTTCACATGTGTAGACATGTGGTGTACTTACAGTAAAAGCAAGTCGCCTACTTCTACCCACCATGATTACCATGGCCTGTACCATGTGTACTAGGGATAAGCAAAAAAATAAAATAATAAACCACTAACATTTGTAATTAAATAGTAAAGTTGAACTAACTCTATGTAAATATAAACACCTATTTTAAAGAGCCAAAGTGTCCTTTAGAGAGAGTTGATTATCTTACTGGAGAGCTGCTAATTAGTAAAAATGGTGATGAAAACTGTCCTTTGTTGAGAGGTGTGTGATCTCAAGGAGGTTCTACTGTAACTATACCTTTCACATATTTTTCAACATTGTTTATTCAACCTAACAAAGAATATAAGGTGACATTGTACTTTATCCTAATAAAGGATTATTGAAACGCTCATCCCCAGCAGGTATTATCAACAAGCTCTACAAGCTTGATAACCTAATATGATTGAGTGAAGATAAGAAAGAAGAAAAAGATTGATACACACAAAAAAAAAATTTAAAACATTGATTCTTATCTGATCACCGAAGTTAAACAATATTGAGCCCGGTCAGAACTTGGGAGGGTGACCATTTGGGAACATGGGTGATGAAGGCACTTCCTTTTTCTTTTTTAAAGAGGGAAGCATAAGTAAGGCTACAAAAATTGAAAATAAGCAGCATCCTGGGGTTAAACCTTGAACATTTTCCCTAGCTATAGAGATGTCTCACTCCATCCAACCTACCAGAAAGTAGTTTGGGGATATGTAAAGTTGCTATAGTGTGACTGACCTGGGGCAGCAGCTTTGCAGTGAGGAGTCCCAAAGCCTGCGAGTCCCCCAGGCCCTCCAGTCTGTACAGATGACAGGGCTGTCCAACCAGCCACTCTGAAAACTACTGTTGCCATTTCAGTAGCCAGTCCGACAGTGCTGTATGGGACCCACTACCTTCTTGGTGTAGATCTGTCGCCTCTTCCTGGTGCCCGGCTGCGGGGAGGAGGGGGGCACCACTTCCGGGACAAGGTCTGTGGGGTCCAAGGTCAGCAGGCTCTCATCCAGCTTGGAGATGGAGTTGCCCAGGGGGATGAAGTGGTCGTCTAATTCCTCTGGTACATACCATATTACTGAAGATGAAGTTTTTTTAAAGCCAAAATTGAATAAACTTAAAGGATATGAACACAAGGTAATAAGACCAAATCCAAATAAATAAATAGTGTGTGACGTTTCAGTAACAGAGTTGTTACCAAAATATCATACACTATTTATTTATTTGGATTTGGTCTTATTACCTTGTGTTTATAATCTATAATCCAAATTGTGCCTTATCAAGCTTAAAGGATACTTTTGTGCCATGGGAATCTAGTCCCAAGACTGGTGATGTACCTCCTCAATCACAGGATCTTTAGAAGAGGTGAAGAGAATTGAGCAGAGAACAGGGTGAATGGTATCCACAATGATAGCTGACTTCAGTATCAGAGATGGCTCTCTATATAATGGTGATAATAAATCAGTTCTAAAAGACCTGTGTGCTTTCTCAATCAAGCTCTCTTAAGGCAATACAGTAGAATCTCCATGAGAGGACACTCGCGATAGAGGACACCTCTCCCTAAATGACACTTTGGCTCTGTAATTAGGTGTCCTTTACAGGGAGGTTCTACTGTATACATTCAGGGACAAAACTCCCCCCCGAAGTTGATCCACTTTGCCGTAGTGGGGGGGCCCGAGTCCGACTTCCAAGTCGTTCCGCCAAGAGATCAACACCACAGAGGTCCGTACGTCTCTTGACCTCACGGACAATACAGCAGCTACATTATTCATTTTGTCTCCTCTCTAATTGTAAATATGCTGCTGTATCACCTCATAAGCATAAATAAAAGGGACAAAACTTAAGAAAGTTGTACATTTTAGCATGGATATCAGGACAATAACTCTGATAGATATTACAGAGACCTTTATTGAAGATAATGAGATAACCAAGTGTAAACAAAATTGCCTCGGTTTCTTTTTTAAAAAAAAATAGATGACCGGTGACATCAAAGGCTTTCCACATTTTTAAGTGTTGTCCAAGAGTGTAATCTATAGCCATATAGTATGGTAGTAAGATATTGCCTCCAGTTAGTCCATACATGGAGGGTTTTCACGAATAGAGTAAAAGCAATACTTTTTTTCTTTTTGCCTTCTACAACCAATATGCCGTTAATCCACCTTTAGGAGATGCTATTTTACTCTTTAAGGTTTCCACCTTAAAGAGCAAAAGTGATGCCAAATAAATATGAATATAATATGCCAAAGTACTGGTGTTTCGGCTCATTCTTGATCACCAACAGTAAATTTAATACTAGGATGATAAACAAAGATACATTGTTGAGATAAGGCACAATTTAATACATTGTTTAATGTATTTTTAATAAGGAAATGTGTGTTTAATAGCAAGAAACTTTACCAATAAATATATATGTTAATTAATTTAAAAAAAGTAGTAAATATGTGGAGTATATAGTTACCGATTTTATGGAGTTCGATGCAGGTGTAGAAAGCAGCAGCCATCTTGGCTTCTTGCTTGGTGGCCATAATTGGTCCCTGCACCACAAGCAGACCAAAACCTCCATACATCACACAGCTACTATTCCATGTGCAACAAGCTCAGGAAATTGGAACAACAAACTTGGTGATGTATTGGCATTAGTTTTTTTTAATTATTAATTATCTCTAGTACATTTGGTACAGGCCATGATAATCATGGTGGGTAGTTAGCGACTGCTTTTACTGTAAGTGCACCACATGTCTACACATGTGAAAAGCAGTTCGACTTTGCACTTATAAATGTGCCAGAGCCCCGTTTGGTTACTTGCCCTCGTTGGTGGGGTTGGACTTTTGCAAGAATGGGGGGCCATTGGAGCATTTTTTTTTTAATACAGAAAAAAGTGTCCAATGCGGGAATCGAAACCCGGGTCGTAGTGGTCGAAAACCAAACGGTTTAACCAGCCTTCCACCGACCCCCATTTGTGCCAAGTGGGAATACATTCATTGATAGGAGCCAACCTACTATAGGAAAAATGTAAAATTAATTCCCAAAAATTTTATCAGCAGTTCCAATTATCAATCAATCAATACCTGTATTAAGACATTTAGTTTTAAATACAGATTCTCCTGAGAGATACAGAAAAAAAGTGAGGAAAAAGAGAGAAAGAAATTCAACATATTGAGTGATAATTATTTTGAGATAATAGATGTGTGTATTATAAGCACAAGGTAATAAGACCAAATCTAAATTAAAATATAGTGTGTGATGTTTCGGTAACAGCATTGTTACCATTTTCAGACAAAAGTACTGAATTAAGTAAAAAACTGAAAAAAGGTAATGAAAAGAAAATTATTCAGTACTTTTGTTTGAAGATGGTAACAACACTGTTACCGAAACGACACACACTATTTATTTATTTATTTGGATTTGGTCTTATTACCTTGTGTTTATAATTTACAATCCAAATTGTGCCATATCATATGTGTATTATGTTATAGAGATATTCTCCTGCTATCCTTTTGTAGTTCCAACAAATCAGTATTACAAAATACAATCATTCCTTATACAATCATTCCTTATACAGCCACCATGGAATGCCATTCAATCCTGTTCTGTGTGATTCATATCTCTACATTTCAGGTCATTCTGTTAGATTATCAAGCACCAAAATGGTTGCAGGGTTTTCCCCTTATGTACTAAGTGTCAGCCTGCAACCCCAAGACATATTATTAACTGTATTGACTCATCCATTGATGTGCTCTACTCTTCCCCGGCAGAAACCATCAAAAATCTCAAGCTTTACAAGCTTGGTGTGATTGAGTGGAGATAAGAAAGAAGAAGAAGAATCAAGCACCAATCCTTCTTTAGTCTACTTCTTCATTCTTCAATCCCTCCACTAGAGTCAAAAGACAATCTCCCAATGATCCTCATTAATTGATAAATGATTTCATTTAGAAGGTAGCTATACTCTTCATTATATTGCCTCCAAACTTTGATAAGACACAATTTGGATTATAGATTAGAAACATGAGATAATAAGACCAAATATACCCAAATCTGAGTGTGACATTTTTGTAACAGCGTTATTAACAAATAACTCATTTGGTCTTTTGTTTGAGGATGGTAACAATTATGTTACCGAAATGTTACACACTATTTATTTGGTCTTATTACCTTATCTTTTTAAAATGTAAAAAAAATAATAATAATGGCTAAATGTTGTGCCAATTATATATACAGTATTATAAAGTTCAGTACCTAGTTGCAGAGCCAAAGTATCCTTTAAGTGTCCACTTACCAGAGAACAGCTAATTGTTAAAAATGGCCAATTTGGTCATGGAACCTGTCCTTTGTAGAAAGGTGTCCTCTCATGGAGGTTGTTCTACTGTAAATATAATGATCTTAAAATAACAACTCCCTATTGTACTATTTTCACTGTTGAGTCAACAATAGTTTTTTTGCTTATCCCTAGTACACATGGTACAGGCCATGATAATTATGGTGGGTAGAAGTAGGCGACTGCTTTTACTGTAAGTGCACCACATGTCTACACATGTGAAAAGCAGTTCGACTTTGCACTTACAAATGTGCCAGAGCCCCGTTTGTTTACTTGCACTCGCTGGTCGGGTTGGACTTTTGCAAGAATCGGGGGCCATTGAAGTTTTTTTTTTTTAATCAGAAAAAAAAAAGTGTCCAATGCGGGAATTGAACCTGGGTCGTAGCGATCGAAAACCAGCGGTTTAGACCATCCTTCCACCAACCCCCTATAGTAAAAGTTGATAAGGGACAATTTGGATTATAGATTAGAAACACGGGATAATAAGACCAAATCTAAATAAATAGTGTGTGACATTTTGGTAAGAGAAGGAAGGGGTAGGGGGAAGAGAGAAAACAAGAATGGGATGGAAGTGTTGCAAGAAATCTCACCCTTTGCATATACTTCCTAGCTCAGCTTGGGACTACTGATAATTCGAACTAATTTGTGGCTTGTCCAGCAAGTGATCTTCTTTTTCTTCTTCCTTATCTCCACTTAATCATATTAGGGTACTGGGTGAAGTAGGATGTGTCTGCCTTTGTCATTAAGACTGGGAGCACTACTCAGTGGCAGGTTGACTTAGCTCCAAAAGAAATGGCCGCCTCTGACATGAGGAACAGACCCCATGCAGCCGCTCCTAACATGGAGTACAAACGCTGCTCATCCTGTATCCCTGGATTAGGAGCCCTTACAGGGTACTATCAGCCGGGCCAGTGAGCCCATGTTTTTTAGCGAGCTTGTTACTGCTCCCCCTCCTCCTTTTTCATCCGGGCTTGGGACCGGCAAAGGCGGAGTTCAGCAAATGATAATTAACCAGAGCTGACAGCAGAGATAAAGAGAGGGTTATACATTCTAGTTGATGAGATCCACCTACCATGATGGGATGTTTGAGCGGGGAGTTAATAGGGAGGTAGATGGTGCACTGGTAGCCTGGGGTATCCATGGCCATGTGTTCCCTGACCCTCCAACGGGGGGACCAGCTTGGAGGAGCGGTCGCAGGGCAGCATGGAGCAGTACCTGGGATCAGCTTTGTGCCATCTCAACATAGAGAGAATACAGTA